CCTGTTATCTCCTCTCTTAAGAAGACTTAGTCAAGGACCTAGTGGAGAACTTTTATATATGGCAGGTTTGTATCTTTGTATGAAATGGCTTGTAGGAATATTTAATCTTTTACCCCATGACTATATCTTTCTCACTGAAAGTTGTTGGTTTGTAGATAATCTATATTTTGGTTTATCTTCCTCTCACTGTGCAGGTTAACACAGTCTGTTGAACAGATGACTTGCAGATCTCTGTTAGTAAAAATGTGTGTAAAAAGTAAATTCTTTTTATTCCTATCACATGCCCTACAGGTTGAATCAGTTTGCTACTTTAGTTAGTCAGAAATCATTTCTACTTTCAACTATTATAGTACTAATTTATTTTTCTCAGCACTAAGATGCACAAGACAAAGTAGTGATCTAAACCCTAAGTATTTTGAGGGAATGATGCTGCTCAGTGCTCTGCCCTCAAATAGCATTTCTGAGTAGATGCTGCCTTATCCATTTTGTAAGCTGTCAGTCAGTCTCCTACAATGTCTCAAGAATGGATAAAAGTTGTGGGTTTATTCTTGCCTATTTATCTTCTGAGGTATGAGATTTTCAGAAAGTGCATGACTGTCTCATGGCCTTGATGAATATGATAATGGCTTATCTTGAACCTTTCACCACACAAAAGGTGAGAGAAAGACTGGGTGTAATAGGAACTTCCAGTAACTCCTGTCATCTAGCAACAGTGTTCCCTGGGAACATAATACTGTTCAGTTTTTGTCTTGTCACTTCTTCCTTTCTCTTTAAACATGACTTTCCAGGCATGAATTTCAGGTTTAGCAGATGGTAGAAGGGGAGAAGGTATACTTTCAAGCATTGACTATGTTCCTCTGAAATTCCTTACATATTAAGGCTATCTTGATAATGTGTTAGACACCTGCTTAAGTAATAGATAGCAATGTTGCATCTCTAAATTTAGTCTTTTATTTATAGCCTTGACAGCCTATGTACAGAGTAGATTTTAACGCTGTCTTTAAGCTATCTTTATCAATCCTCTTCATCTCAGGCTTCCCCAGGGATTTATAGGAGTCTATTTAATTTGCTCAGCCTTCCCAATTCTGCAAAGGCATACATAGAGCTTGTTAGACTTATCACAGCAAATACACCTTCACAAGAAACCACTTAAATTTTTCTCAAGACACTATACCCTGTTATACACACTGCCCACCAGATATTCCGAGATGTATGCTGGGACAGGACCTTTAGGCAACTGTTCAGGATGATGACACCAGAAAAACCTGGATTGAGTTACATCACAGCATGACATTTGAAAGCACCAGTTGCAAACCATGCACAGCTACACTTATAAAGATCATTTAATTTAATGAGCAAAATAACTGAGCTACATTGTATTGTAATGCACTCTGGAGTAAGGTCACTGGATTAGAGTGTTAAAGCAGTACACTACAGAACATCTGCAATGAGGGGCTGCAGAAGTGCAGGTGTCCTGATGTAAACAACAGTAAAAATATTGAGCTCCTAAAAAGAAAAGATAATAAAGAGATTTTAATCTAGACTGATCTCTGACACATATTCCCTCTTATTTTTTGAGCTAATTCTTGCTTGAATCAAGACATGTCTTGTAGAACTTATTCAATTTTTGATTTACAGATTTCTCATAATCCTTCCCAATCACCTCTGTAGCTAAGCTGTTAAAATGGTCCTTCACACGCTCTGTCAAAACTACAAGTAATCTTATGTCATTTTTGGATTTTCTTACATGTAGATAGTGTACACTGAAGAGCCTTTTATTGTCTGTCCTGGGTTCAGCAGTAGCACTCATTTTTCCCCTTCTTGGTAGCTGGTGCAGTGCAGTGTTTTGACTTTCAGCTTGGGAACAGAGCTGATAGTGATGTTTAGGTTTGGCCAAGGACTTTGTGAGCCTCATGCTCTGCCAGGGAGGAGGGGAAGCCAGGAGGAAGTAGAGACAGGACACCTGACCCAAACTGACCACAGAGGTATTCCATACCACAGCACGTCATGCCCAGGATGTAACTGGGAGTGAGCCGGAAGGGCTGGGAGACTGCAGGGTTGGAGGAGGTATCGGTCAGAGCTTGGTCGGGCTGGGGGGGCGAGTTATCGGTTGGTTGGTGGTGAGATGATGTATTCTCTTCCCTTGTTATTTCCTGTATCATTATTATCATTGGTGGTAGCAGTAGTGATCTGTGTTATACCTTAGTTACTAAACTGTTCTTATCTCAACCCGTGGGAGTGTCCCTCCGAGAGCAGGGGGAGGGCAAGAAAAGGGGGGGGAAGTGAGCGAACGAGTTACCTGACTGGGTTTAAACCACGACATTGTCACATATATAATATTCTAATATCTACTGCTTCCATTTTTTTAAACAAAAGTATAAATGTAGTCTTTTCTTCTTGGATGCTATATCAGGACTTTAAAATCAGTATTGAAAGTCCCAAAGGCTATTCGGAATTTTTTTTAGATCTATTTGTAAAAAGTTATTAGGAGCTGCTGATTAAAAGTATATGACATTACTGGCTCCTATTAAATATCCTGATGAGTAACTGTCAAAATTGAAAATATTTTATCACAGTCATGTTCTGACATCAACACTTGATCTTTCTCTAAGTACAGAACTATGCTGGCAACTATTCATTAAAAAAGATAGACTTACATAGAACTTACACATTTGAATGCCACTGGATTTTCTGCAAAGTTATTGATAACTCCACCATTGCTACATTAATAGTGGACTTGTTAACATTTCTTTTATTCTTGATCTGAGAAGTGAAAGAACACTTTTTATTACTCATCACTGCACTGATTTGACAATTTTGTCCTGTTTCCTTCCATTTTACCAATTTCTAGCTTCTAGTTTGCTATAAAATTCTTTTTTTCCCCACATCTTATTTTATTTTCTTGTTATGCTTGCTATAGTTACTTCCACATTTATTCCAGCTGAACTGAATATTTTACATGCATAATCTTCTTTTTCGGTTAATATTCTAGCAGAATATTATTAAATTGTTCCCAACACCATCTGCATTTCTTCCATCTAAATTATTCCTAAAGAGGTTTTGACTCCTAATTATTTCAGGTCTATGATACTGGAGTTATAAAGCAGCAATGTGTGTATGCATGTGTAAATGAATCTTTCCTTTGTCATATAAATTACAGAAAAAAAAAGATAATTTGCTGTATTTCAGTTTTGTAATAAATTTCTCTATCAGTCAGGATGTGAATTAAACTGGCAGTGTACCATGAAGCTGTCACCTGTGCCTCTGAGATTTTCCCTTTGCGTCCCTTTAGTGTAAATTTCCACCTATTACAGTGTTTTACTCTGGAGCTGGAGAACTCACAGTGATGGGGGGTGTTGTATTGTTTGGAACTGCTTTAAGCCTGTATCTCCTTTGATGATCCCGGTCATGTACAATGCTTATGCTGTGAATGGTAACATGACAGTGCATCAATCCTTGTACGGGAGTTTTTTCAGCAGCTTTAATTTTTTTCCCAGCCTGCTCTTTTAGTTCTATCCAGCAGGAGCTGAGTTGTGCTTCTGTGCTGCTTTTCTGCCACACACTGATGATTTTATCATAAAATAATACTTGTCTCGTGTAGAAAAATGCAGTACTTGCCACATCTCCACAGGTTCTTTACATGTGCTGCCAACACTGTGATAAAATGGTGTCAAGCTGGCTTTCTTGATTTTCAATACCTTATGAAATAATACTAGCAAGTATTTAAGGAACTCACGTTTTCCTAAGCTTCACACGGTTATCTGCAGGGCTTAAAGCCATTTTGATTTGTTACCTGTCTGCTAGAAGTTTCTAGTCTGCACCTGAGGTAATAAATGTCTTACTTTGTCTCTTGTTTACTCCTTCCATAAATAAAAAATAAATTCTAAGCTGGGTTTGTGCCAGCGGAAGACATGAAGGTTTCCTGATTTAGTTACAAATTTCATAGCATTGTTTATTTAACACCTCAAAAATGTAGCATAGTGTAAATATTGCAGAACTTAATACAGATTCATGAACATTACCAGTATGTACAGTTTCATATTGACTTATTTCCAAAGGAAGGAGATTAAAAAAAAACACCCAATATTTTTAATCATATTCAATGTTCAGAAACAAATGTGAATAGATTGATGCCCTTCTTAATAAGACTTCAACCTGAAATATTTTCTCCTCTTAATTTAGGTCAAATGAGCTCTTTATTTTGTGGATATGACTCTGTACCCTTACTTAATTATTCTCTGGGTGTGGCTGTTGTTAAGCCCCTACACTTTAGCACAGTTCAGCATATATTTCCAGCTGCTTACAGGAGCACACTGGGGAATGTGCTTTCATATCACTCCACACTTACTAAAATACAAATTCTTCTAGAGCAAGGATATGCTATTGCCATGAATGAATAAATTGTAATCTTAAAATGTACAAATGAAAATTCAACCTGAGCAAGAGAGGGATATTTTTACAAGAATGTGTAGTGACAGCACAAGGCGTAACAGCTTCAGATTGAAAGAGGGTAGATTTAGATTAGATATTAGGAAAAAAATACTCATCATGGGGGTGGTGAGATACTGGAACAGATTGCTCAGAAAAAGTTGTGGCAGTCCCATCCCTGGGTGGGGCTTTGAGCAACCAGGTCTAAAGGAAAGTGTGCCTGTCCATGGGTTTGGAACTAGATGATCTTTAATGCCTCTTCTAACCCAGACCATTCTATGATTCTATGAAGAATATTGTCATAACGTTTTTGTATGATGCTTCTTGTATCTGAATAGATTATTGGGTGAAGCAATTGCATGTACTTTAGTAATGAGTAGTAGTGGGTATACAACTGCACAGAGCTGAAAAATCAGAAATGTTGACAGCTGTTTATTTCTAAAAATATTTTTGCTAATATTTGTAATAATCTTTCTAATACTTCTAGTAAAATATTTCTATGGGACTTTAAAATGTCATAGTGCTAAAAAAAAATAAAAATGTACTTTCTTACTTTTTCCCTCCTCTTGTAGATATTTTTAAACGCAGATACAATTCGCCTGGGAAATCTACCAGTGGGGTCGTTTTCTTCCTCCTCCTCCTCACCCAGCTCTTCAGCTCCTCGTCAGACTATCTATGAGCTGTGCGTCTGTCCCAATGGTAAACTTTACCTGTCCCCAGCAGGAGCAAGCTCCACATGTCAATCCAGTAGCAACATCTGCTTGTGGAGCTAGAATGACTCCAATTTATCCTCACACCAGAATAGCCTTTTGTTACTATCCCTCTGCTTCACAGTTCTGCTCGGTTTCCCTTGTGACAAGTTCGACGCTTCAAACGGCCTGCAGAGCAACTTCTTCCAGTGTAAGCAGGAATGCAGCGCTGCCTTCTCTTGTGGTTTGTGTTGCCACTCATCATAGAGATGGGAGTGAGATATTCAGAAATCAATGTATTCCTCATCAGGAAACCTGGGACATAATATCACCTTTTTTCCAAAAGGGAGAATAACACAGGTGCCTTTGCTACATGAAGTGAAGCACATCATAGTTTTAGATTTTTGCAGGACCTGGATATGAACTGCACACACACATATATATATATATATATATATATATATATATATATGCACTACATAAACAAATTTGCCCAGAATCTGATGGTGAGATGAATTGATTCCCCCTGTATGATAACTTTACTGTCTGAAAGCACAATTTTCCATTCATCTTTTTGGATGTAAACTTTTATCCCTGAATTTTAAAATTTTAAAGCATTGTGTGATGCTTGCTTTACTAAACAATTAAATTCAGTAAATGGTTTTTAACACAAAAAGAGACAGAATCCCTCCCTGAGTTTGCTTTCTTTAAAAGTGTGTTCTTATTCTTTGTCTAGGGTTTCGTCACTAGGTAAATTTGGGAAGTGTTCAGCAATATTACCTTTCAAAGTTAAAAAGACATCTGCTCTTTTTTGTCAGATCTGAATGGCCTTATATAGTATTTGTGTTGGCTACTGCATGTGAAGTGATTGCTTTAAGTAGAGCATACAGGTTCTGGAAAAGAACAACAGGGCAAAGACAGAAATACTGATGGTATGTTTGTTGAACAGTGTATTATTCTTCACAAGGTATTTATAATTGGCAAATGCAAAACCAAGAGAAAAATATTCAAAGGAACATCTTGTCTATTTTCTAGCTACACCTAACTGCTGCCATTTGAACACAGTACAAACCTCAGTATTAATGTGATGTGTAATGCTGAAAAGCAGTACACTAACAACTGGTATGACATTCGCATTTATTATTCTCTTTTGTTTACCATCTGCTGCTAAGGTTTTCAAAGTAACAGTAATATATATAAAAACACACATTAAATGACATTCAGTATTAAAAAGTACATTGATATTGCATTAACTTTATCAGGTCTGTGTTTAAATTATGCAGCCCCACTTGCACTCAGATCTCACTACTGGCTTTCTTCTTTGTCATATGGGATTTCTTTCTCGTATCAATGTTCATACTTGTTTGGCTTAGCTGGTAATTGAAATTTTATAAAAAATGCTTTGGTATGCTGCTAGGAAATTTATCATAACATTGATTAACAAGAGTATCTTGAAACTTGCAGAACCCAGGAATGTAAAACAGTATAAAAATGTTTGCTATTGTGGAAGATGGCTTGATTACATGAGGTAAGTGTGCTTTTTAATTCTGTCCTTCAAATTATATCACCTATCATGAAACTTTAGAGCCCTCAGATTGTAAGACCACCAACGCAATGATGACTTTTGCAAGGTAACTCTAAAGTCAGGGCAGACAGTGTAAGGTGGGTATTTCTACACATGGGTTTTTTTGATTGTTTTTGTCTTAGAGAAAAATACGAAAATGAGCAAACTAATACTGTGATTACCTTTGCATTTCATTACCACCTAATAAGGTTGATTTTGGTTTCACTTCGGGTGAAATTCACTCCTATGCAGAGGTCCAGCACAAGATATGTCCACGGCTTGACTGGTGCTTCCCTTTCCATTGGCCCTCTTCAGAGGTGTGAATTTCCCCCATAGCAAGAATTCTGCACTTGCTGTTTCTACCAGTTAAATGAAGATTTCTAATTTGTTATTTTATCTCTTTAAAATAAGGCTGTTAACAGCTGATTTGTTATTTCATTGAGAATTTTATTCTACTTGGAAAGAAAATATATTACAAAATATATTAAAAGCCTGAAGATTTTTAGTAGGAGGGACAGAAAGAGATACATGTGACAAAGAAGTTGATAATAAAACATTAGAAAGTGTAGCTGTACAATACGCCCTTAAAACTGTAGGGAAACAGATGTCTTTTTCTAATGCACACAAAGAATAGAATATGCGGACAAATAGTATTCAGGAGGAAAGTATATAGATCTATATGAGGACACATCTATATGTATTCGTTTCTGTGCACATCAGCATACACCGGCAGCCTAAAAGATTAGCAGATGATTATAGTGACTAATCTATTTGGTGAAAAAATTATGGCTTCTTACAAATTGCACACAGTAGACTAGGATGTTTTTCTCTCCTCAAATAAACCCACAGGATGGCTTGCTGATACTTTGTCAATTTTCCACTGAGAATTTCTTATTTGTTTGCTCCTTACCTTGTGCGATTACTCACCTGTAATACATATGAAAAAGGTTTTTGCCCTCTGAATGAAAAGACCCAACCTTTACAGATTTTACACAAACCTAGGCAGGTAGGAGAAAATATCTTTTGTTACTAGATTAATTTTAAAAGAAAGGCTGGAATAATTTACCACTTTGCATGAAGAAAAGTAAGGGCAAAGCTGCGGGTGGCACAGTGGACTCAACAAAACCAAGCCAGTAAATCCCACATAGCTCTGCACCATCAGGATTTTCTTGCTTGGAGTCCCTTCATTCTAAGGTAGAGAGTATTTGAGAGCTTCAGCAACCCATGAAATAGCATAATGAGTTCTCATAATGTCTTAATATTCTGATGAATATCATAATATTGATGTTTTACTTTAAATCCACTGCAAACTGTAAGAAAGGGAAAATCTCAGGTTTTATTTTAAAGAATATTTCTAGCCCACATGATTTCAGAGAGTATTGGAAAAGTTATTTCAATGCATTTAGAGAACTAAAAAAATTAAAGCGCTAATAATCTGTAAGCAGCATCATTCCTGAGTGGAAGGAGAAACAGACCCAGTGGTTTTGAATGGAGCTGGCAATAGTGAAAACCTCAATAGCCAAGTTCTACTTACAGTATGCCCCCAAAATATGACAAAATATGACATAATTCTACATTTCAGACGGAAGGAAGCTAGAAGATCTTAATGTAAATATATTTAAAAATGGAGCCATTAGCTGTGACATTTCAGTGATCGTTTTATAATGACGAGGTGATTTTTTTACAAAGCCACAAGATATTTTCAGATTCTTTTTGTCACCTTCATCATACATTCTTGGCCCTGTCTCCAAATTACTTCAGCCTTTGCTGGCTATTTATATTTGACAGGTTATGATTAAGCCCCAATGAATGCTTCTCTAGGTAGAGTGTTTATCTGAATGAATATTTTGATTGTGTATTTTAGAAAAGAGATGTCACTTATTCTGGTTAAGGCAGGAGTTTCCCACTAAGAAATCACTCTGTTGTGACAATTGTAGGGAAAAAAATCAAGATCTTAGGATATTCTTAAGCACTAATGTTAGTGCGATTAAAAAAAAAAGGCATCTAAAATATTCCTCTGAGGTTTTTTATAGTATATGAATACAGTATCAAATAAAGCTCCTTTTTGTACTAGAATGTTTGTATGGAAACCTCTAAGATGGTATTGCAGCTGTTTAACTTCTTCAGCGCTATCCTTATAACAACAGTGAAATATGTGGAAAGACCTTATTAGCTACATGTATTTGATACAGTAGGTTTATCTTCTGTAAAAACATCTGTGTCATAATATTATAGGATACTGTCTCTTTCTTGTTAAAAAAAATAAAAAAAATAAAAAAATAAAAGCATCAGCCAACCTCTGAGCACTGTTAGCTGTATGGTTTTGTATTGCAGTTCATTCATTAAATGATAAGACCAAAGACTGACACTTCTAACACTATAACACTGCTGCTTCTACTAATTCTGTTGGAATGAAGAGATGACAAGTTGTAATTACAACATGAAATTGTAACATAGTTTAGATTTGTGCAGCATTTTGAGCTGTAGATTGTTCACTTTTTTCCAGGGTTTTAATTTTTTTCAGGTGGTGCAATTACATTACTTTTCATGCATACAAGTATCTTCAGTGTTCCTAAGGAAATGAAAGAGTATGTATTCCAAAACAAGCCAAGATATTGCTTGTTTCAATTGAAGTTATACTGTTTCTCTTGCAAAACAGTGGCTTGACTGGATAACAGAATTCACTTCAAACCATTCTAGATGCAGAGGGTTAGTAGGTCCGGACTGAAGATACAGCCATAAATATCTAGAAGGATGTAATGAAGGATGTTCTAAGATATTCAGTGGCTAACACCATGGGGGCTTTTTTATGTTTGGTGATTTTTGGTTTGGATTCTAAATCATCTAAATAAAAATAAAAAGTAAAAAAAAATCTAAAAAAACACAAAACACCATAAACATTATTAATTGTTATCAGTTGATTCACTGTAATGCACATGTAAGTTCAATCAGAGATTGAGTGTTATATTGTTTCAATCAGTACTCAGTAAAGGTCTGCTAACCATTTTTGTTTTGTAACATCCATGTTAATGATTTTCTTGTGTATATAGATATACAAAAAAGATGGGAACTATTTTCTTACACATACTATGCAATATGTTTGTAAAACTGCAATATTACCAAAATTACAAAAGCTGTGCTTTTGTACTGTCTTGCTTTATGTAAAAAAACTCTTTTTTCTATTTAATGAACTGTCTTATAATTGTAGGTAATGTTAATCAAAAGTAGTATACTGGAACTTTCAGATTTCTTATTTCATTTTCTTTGTATTTTTCATTTTATAAAAATAATAGCAAGGTTTTGGAAGTTGGAAATTGCTTTTTCTTGGAAAGCTAGAGCTTTTACAGAATGTAATTAACACAATCAGTTTGAAATCTTTTCTGTACTTTCATTTGGTCTTAGCATTTTTATCTGATGCTACTACATAAATAAATGTGATACATAAATTAGGAAACATATCAGAACTCATTTCAAGAATAATTAAGGGTGGAATCTTCTAACAGTGAGAGGAAGATGTAGGATACCTGATAAGAAATTTTTAGGCTTTCTGTATATTTTTGTTTGATAGATTTTTTTGTTAGTGTGATTGATTTCCTTACTTCGGTCTACATTTGCCATATGGAAACAGCTTTAATTTGTTTTTCTTTTTGTTGTCCTCACATACAGTATACCAGCATTCTATTTCAAAAATGTTTTTGAAAACAACATACACTGCATTTGAATGCAATACCTATATTTAGAATATCCAATTTAAAAAAAAAGTAAGTTTATTTCTACATCAGCATCAGTAAAGTTAAAATTGCAGTGCTGCATCTCATCTACTGTAAAAGCTTATTACACTACTCAAGTTCCTTTGTACCTTGCCAGAATAAGTTAAACTATGTTTAAACTGCACCAATATACAACCCGCTTGACAGAGTCATGTAAAAAGTCTTGCAGGGATGCCATCAATGTAAACAAATCTTGTCTATGTTTGAATTGGGTAGCGTTAGTTCTGCTAACAGCATAGCCTTGCACAGAACTCTGTCAAAATGCAAAGTAAGCATTTGGGTGTGTTTTTTTTGCACTGAGCTCCTTGATGCCATGCTACAATTTCAGCAATATCCACAGTAGCCAGACAGTAGCTAGCTGCATAATGTCAAAAAGAATTGTAATTTCTCTACAAAAGCAACAGTTTTATAGAACTATCAGTAATGTAGGTCCTGATAAGTCTCAAGTGACTAAAACGCAATAGCTGATAGAGTGAAAAATTTACTCTTGTCCATTTTATTCAATCTTGGTCTAGTCCAGTCTGGGAAAACCTCATGACAGTAAAAGATAAATAGAAGGTGTAGTGAAAAAAGTCCACCATAAATATTGTGTTGATTCAGTACAGTCCATACTGAGACTAGAATTTAATGCAAACTCTCTGTGTAATATAGGGTCTCCTCTGAAACTTCTGACTGACCTTCGGATTATGTTGTTTGAATTCGAAAGTATTATTTGGTCTCTTGTATGCTCTTATACAGGCCAGGACCAGGAAGAGTTTCAGGAGAGCCAAGGTAAAAGCATATATTGTATGTCTTGCCTGATTACAGTCGATTAAACACAATTAAGCTTAGCCTACTTACCTAAAAAAAAAATTGGTTGAAATTATAAAGTTTCCTTTAGTTTTGGGAAAATTTTAATCTTTAAGGGTAGTTGACCTTTCCAAGGAGTACCCAGCTCTTCCAGGGTTTCAAATAATGATATGTTAAATCACTGAGAGTAATTTATATTAAAAAAACTTGTCCTTTGTCTTAATCAAGTCCATTTAATGCATGACTTGATCTGAGAAGTAAAGGTGCCTTTTAATCACATGTATACCTCCTTGTTTGTGAGACCTGTGAGGAAGCTCAGCTTCCAGCATCATGTAAAACACAGTGAAGAATGGACTCTGGCATTAGAGGGATGTTCCTTGAGGCAAGATATTTTGTTTTCTGTGCTTTATGGTATTTTGGGAGCTTGAATACGTCATTCTTCACCACTGAGAGATCTTCATTCTAGCACAATAACCTATTTCTAAGTATTTTTTTTCAGAATTACTCAAAAAATCCCCATCGTTTTATGGGTACTCGGTTTTCTTATCCCAAACACTACAGCAGTAAGTGAAAGTAAAATCCTCTCCCTCAAATCCTACCCACTTTTACCTCTTCAGCAGGTTTTCAGTTGCCCCTCATATCCTCATTTTTTCCCAAATCACAAAAGAATAGACAATGGAAAGAATTTAGCTATCTCTTTATTAGGCTCCTTCGCGTGTAACTGGAATGATATAAAAGGGGAAGTTCCTACCAAAGAGGAAGATTATTTGTTTTGTTAAAACAAAATTTATATGAGAAGGAAAACACAGGCAAATACTGATTTTAGTCTGACATGCTAGAATGAGCAGTAAAAGTTTTCAGACTATAAAATTTTTAATAATTTTTCATTTCTTATAAGTTTCATTATTCAGTGAATGCATTTAAAATATCTTAAAATAAATATGCAAACTATTCTATCAATTTTATTTTTTTTAAATAGAAAATAATCACTGAGCTTGTTATTTGTCCTCTACTGGTGTATTTATTTGTTTTACAAATTTAAGAGGAAAAAAAATACCTAAAATGTTAACTATTATAAATCTTACTATTAAAAAAACGTACCAATAACAAAATATTGTTTCCATAGCTCATGGGTGACATACATCCTAGGTAAATTAAGAATCTGATTTCTTTTACAATGGCATGCCTTTCTGTTATTTGTGTGATTGTTGGGTGATTGGGATTCTCAGATGATAAAGGAAATAAAGTATCTTTGTAGCAACAGAAGAAGCAACTGTGATAGTATCTCCCACACTACAGTGAAACTGAACAAAAGGGCATGCACTCATGTAGAGAGGCTCTCCTACAGCAATTTGATGTGAAGACAACAGTCAGGATGCTTTCCAGCTCCATGCTCCCCAGGGTGAATAAGACATGGCATTACAATAACCTTGGACAGACAGAAAGGCAGTG